GTCTGGAATGTACAGTGAGGGAAAAAAGTATTTGATCCCCTGCTGATTTTGTACGTTTGCCCACTGACAAAGAAATGATCAGTCTATAATTTTAATAGTAGGTTTATTTGAACAGTGAGAGACAGAATAACAACAAAAAAAATCCAGAAAAACACATGTGAAAAATGTTACAAATTTATTTGCATTTTAATGAGAGAAATAAGTATTTGAACCCCTCTCAATAAGAACTATTTCTGGCTCCCAGGTGTCTTTTATACAGGTAACGAGCTGAGATTAGGAGCACACTCTTAAAGGGAGTGTTCCTAATCTCAGCGTGTTACCTGTATAAAAGACACCTGTCCACAGAAGCAATCAATCAATCAATCAGATTCCAAACTCTCCACCATGGCCAAGACCAAGGATGTCAAGGACAAGATTGTAGACCTACACAAGGCTGGAACGGGCTACACGACCATTGCCAAGCAGCTTGGTGAGAAGGTGACAACAGTTGGTGCGATTATTCGCAAATGGAAGAAACACAAAAGAACTGTAAATCTCCCTCGGCCTGGGGCACCATGCAAGATCTCACCTCGTGGAGTTGCAATGATCATGAGAACGGTGAGGAATCAGCCCAGAATTACACGGGAGGATCTTGTCAATGGTCTCAAGACAGCTGGGACCATAGTCACGAAGAAAACAATTGGTAACACACTACGCCGTGAAGGACTGAAATCCTGCAGCGCCCGCAAGGTCCCCCTGCTCAAGAAAGCACATATACATGCCCGTCTGAAGTTTGCCAATGAACATCTGAATGATTCAGAGGACAACTGGGTGAAAGTGTTGTGGTCAGATGAGACCAAAATGGAGCTCTTTGGCATCAACTCAACTCGCCGTGTTTGGAGGAGGAATGCTGCCTATGACCCCAAGAACACCATCCCCACCGTCAAACATGGAGGTGGAAACATTATGCTTTGGGGGTGTTTTTCTGCTAAGGGGACAGGACAACTTCACCGCATCAAAGGGACGATGGACAGGGCCATGTACCGTCAAATCTTGGGTGAGAACCTCCTTCCCTCAGCCATGGCATTGAAAATGGGTCGTGGATGGGTATTCCAGCATGACAATGACCCAAAACACACGGCCAAGGCAACAAAGGAGTGGCTCAAGAAGAAGCACATTAAGGTCCTGGAGTGGCCTAGCCAGTCTCCAGACCTTAATCCCATAGAAAATCTGTGGAGGGAGCTGAAGGTTCGAGTTGCCAAACGTCAGCCTCGAAACCTTAATGACTTGGAGAAGATTTGCAAAGAGGAGTGAGACAAAATCCCTCCTGAGATGTGTGCAAACCTGGTGGCCAACTACAAGAAACGTCTGACCTCTGTGATTGCCAACAAAAGTTTTGCCACCAAGTACTAAGTCATGTTTTGCAGAGGGGTCAAATACTTATTTCCGTCATTAAAATGCAAATCAATTCATAACATTTTTGACATGCGTTTTTCTGGATTTTTGTTGTTGTTATTCTGTCTCTCACTGTTCAAATGAACCTACCATTAAAATTATAGACTGATCATTTCTTCGTCAGTGGGCAAACGTACAAAATCAGCAGGGGATCAAATACTTTTTTCCCCTCACTGTATGTATGTTGAACTTCTTTCGCGCCGTACATAGACGTAGTCAAGCGTACGTTTTCAATTTGGAAGGCCAATTAATAAATAGGCCGATGGACTCACGCATCATTTGTTTGGTTAAATATTTGTCAAGCAAGCGTCCATGACCGACACGGCATGGGGAGAGGGCCTTCATTCATCAGTCGATTCTAAAAAAAAAACCCAGAATGCTAGATTATTGCCATTTTATACACACATAGACAATGATTCCCCGTATCGCCTTAACAGACTTTTGGGGCAAGTGCTGTTAGCGGAACACCTATGAAGGCCGACACACACGCGAGCGGTTGGGTTGACAGCACCTCGCCTTTGTCTCCGCCAGTGGCGATTTGTACTCATCGCGCGAGCTACTCATTTGAGGCTTGAGTCGACCTAGGGGAGGCTCAGATAAACGTCACCGGTGTTGATGGCGGTTGAGTGAAAATCGAACTCGCGTCGCCGGGTTCGTAGCGCGGCGCGCTCAACCGCTCCGCACGTACAGACACATGTAACGTTTGAAAACAACATCCCATGCCGTCTTACGATGGCTCGCTAAGAGAAGTGCACCCCCCCTCCCCCCGCCTCTTGATTCGCTTCTGCGATCTGCAACGCGCGGCCCTCTGACGGCGCAGTGTGCAGGCAGCGGAGCGATTCAGATCCTCGAGTCAGTCCTCAAGGTTCTGCGAAGGCAAAGGCGCGACCCTGCAAGTATGCTCGCTCACACCGCCGCTAGCAGACGGGGTCTCGACCGACGGGAGCTCTAGAAAGCCCCTCTTTAGATGAACCCTCGTCGTCCACGCTGGCCGAGACATCTTGGAAGAGGTGGAGGGGGTGGGGTAGACAAACTTTGCCCCACCGCACGCGACCTGCCGATCGACTAATTGGTCTCGTTTCTCGCTCGATTTTTTATTTCAGAATTCTGCAAGGTAGGCTTGGAGTAGGGAATATCGGCGTAAGGCACTACCACTCCAGTGCAAGGTACGCTTACAGCCGTAATAACCGTATATTACTCTGTCCTACATTTAATATTATCACGTGCAAAGGTTGAGGGCACAATATAGACGAGAAGGACACGGCATGATAATTACCTACATAGCGTCCCTGATTTGCGCCGCGGTGGCTATGAGATGTTAACTACCTCACCTGGTATACAGGAGGTCGTGGGTTCTATCCCGACCCCGACGGCTGTAGATGTGGAGTTTGTGCCAGCTAAAAGGGTAAAAACCTATTACTATATCTTGTAAACTGGCAAAGGAGGTCTCATAATGTAAAAGTTTCATAGTTTATTTCATTATGGGCAAGCAAACGCCCAGGGTAACTTTATTTTGGGATGACAAACCTACTTTATATTATTAAAATTTATCACTCCATATTTCACGTTTTATTGCTGTGCGTGGCACACACAAACACACCTCCACATAGAACCCATTAATCCCCGCACTGGCATATGCTATCTGCTCGGCAAGTACAAAGTAATGCGATGTTTGTCCTCAAACGGGCATACGAAGAGGGTGGATACAGGGGCAGTGTGTTGGACTGTGTCCAGTGTCTATCTATGCACGTGTGTGTGTGTGTGAGTGCGTGCCGACTCAGCCTCCTGGTGCTCAGTGTAAACATCGCCACTAGGCAGACAAAGGCGGCCGGGCGTGGTGCTGACCACCCACCCCCTCGTGGGCTGTGCTGGCCTTCATAAGTGCTCGCTTACAGCACTTGCCCCAACAGTCTGTTAAGGTCTATACGGGGGATCTTTGTCTTTGCCTAGTGTGCGTGTCACTGTGTTGTTGGGAGCGGCAGTGTAGCGGACAGAGCGCCGCGCGACGAACCCAACGACCCGAGCTCGAATTCCGCACACGGCCAACACCAGTGACGATTGTCTGAACTCGACCTGGGCCTCCCCTAGGTCGACTCAGCCTCAAATAAGTACCCGGTGCGGTGTGTAAGCATCGCTGCTGGGGAGACAAAGGCGGCCGGACGTGGTGCTGGCCACTCAGGCCCTCGTGTACCGTTTCGGCCTACATAGGTGCTCGCGAACAGCTCTTGCCCCAACAGTCTGTGAAAGGTTATACGGGGGACATTTGTCTTTGTGTCGGCGCACGTTCGTGCGTCTGCGCGTGCTGCACGTAGCTGGAGCGTTGGGCGTTGTGGTTAACTTACTCACTGCACTACGAATCCTAACATAGCCCCCCCCTTAGTTCGATTCCCGGCCATGGCCAACAAGCAAGTGGCGAGCGATATTTGAACCGGTCCTGAGAATCATCCCCTAGGTTGACTCAGCCTTAAACGGGTAAACATCGGTGCGGTGTGTAGACGTCGGCACTGGGGAGAGATAAAGGCGGCCGGGCGTGATGTTAAACGCAACACCTTTTAATAGGTGCTCGCTAAAAGTCTACGGGGGGCTATCTTCATATTTTTATTTGCTGCGTCACAATAAGCACGTGCACACCTGGGTGTACCATGTGTGCATACGAAGCAGTGCATCACAGTCATGCGTTGCCCTGTGTACTGTACTTCTATGCTCCCCACGTCTCACGTTCCCCGCCTTATCCTACCCGCACCGACCAGCGTGGTGAAGTATGGTCAAATAATCCCCCCCCCCAGGACCACCACGCAGGATTGGTGAGTAAAGGTCCTCATCCAGCAGTGGATTGATTGACAGACGCAGCAGCAGCAGCCGCACGTTGCACATTGCGCGAGAATCGTCGCGTGCGTCTGCGTACAGAGCGGAGCGAGCGGAGCCCGCGAAGTGTGTGAGTGGCTGAGCGAGAGACGAGAGCGAGAGAGAGGGACACAGAGAGAGAGAGGGACAGAGAGAGAGCGAGAGAGGAGGGGGGGGGGGAGCGAGAGCGAGAGGGGGGAGCGAAACGGGACTCACTGCACATCGCGCGTTCCTTCCCTGCGGACACTGGGAACGTGTGCGCAGTGCGCCGGGGTGCGAGGGAGCGTGGTTGGTGTGTGCAACGGGGAGAGGGATATACACAGACACACACCACACGCGTGGCGAGGGAGCGAGAGGCCGAGCAAGAGAAGAGGGGAGGGGGGGGTGGCGACAGAGGAGAGAGGAAGGAGCGGAGCGGGAGCAGGGGACGGACGGAATCGAGAGATCGGAGCCAACGGAGCAAGCGGCAGCGCCGAGGAGGAGGAGAACTCGAGGAGGAGGAGGAGGAGGGAGGAGGAGGAGGCGAAGTCAAAATATCGGAGCTCTCATTGAAGGGTGGAAGAGGAGGAGGTGACGAGGTGTGCCACTGGAGTCGCCCTCGAGTCACCCTTCGAGCCGAGTCTGCCTCGCTCGTCGCTCGCACTGCACCCGGCGGCGCTGCTGCGTGAGCGAGCGAGCGAAGAGGGGTAGGAGGAAGAGGAGGAGGAGGGGGCGGAGGAGGCGGAGGGGGAGGAGGAGGGGGAGTGTCACCGCTGTCCCGCAAGCACCGCTGGGAGAGGTGAAATTCAGGAGCAGCAGCAGCAGCACGGGAGAGAGAGGTGGCCGAGACGGAGCGAGCCGAGAAAGATGGGGGGCACGACGTGAACCTCCTTCCCCCTGCCCTCTGTAACGTCTTCATCATCGGCTTCATCACTGAGCCCGCTTAATTTAAATGTGGCATCATCATCATCAGCGGAAGGATCGTAATCATAATTCGCAGCAGGAGCAAGATAATCAGCAGCGGCAGGATCCTCATCATCCTTAGGAGCAGCGGCAGCGGCAGCAGCAGCAGCATCATCATCACCAGCAGCAACAGTAGCTGCAGGATCATCGTCATCATTAGCAGCTGCAGCATCATCATTAAATCGTCATAATCCATCAGCATCAGCAGCAATATCATCACCATCATCACCAAATCATTATTGAAATCATAAGCGATACCGAAACGTCGCGACGCACAGTGGTTCCATCGCTCTGCTTGCAAGGAAGGAGGTAAAGAAGACCTGGGATCTAACGAGGTGCACAGGCGGGCCAGGAGGAGGGGACGAAGGAGGGCTGACGAGGAAGATTAAGGAATACGGAGGAGGCGCGGAACCAGAGGTTGTTAACCACTCCGAATCATCTTCAGTCGGGAGTGTCCGATCACTCCTCAGGCTCCCACGTCCTCTCTTTCACGGCTTCTCGACAAGGTGAGCACACTGGCTGTACACATGTACAGCGCGCCCTCAGCGCCTTGACCATGCTTCACAGCGACGATTCCACAATTTAGACGTCAAATGTGTGTGCGTGTGTCTCGTTTGTCGCTTGCAAGCACACGCGCGCGTATCGCTTCATCCTTTGTTGAACCCCCCAGACGAGAGAGAGCTCGCCGATTGAGATCAGAGACGCTCTGCACCACACAACACGATCCACGTGAATGAATGTACAAAGGAAGGACTTGATCCATCGATCATTGATTCAGCGCTTGAATCAATCATTCGGTTATTCAGTTATCGCTGATGTTGAGATGTAATGTACTGTCATCTCCTCTATGATGGAGAGATTATGATGGTGATACGCGTTCTGCACGGATAGCTTTCAACTACAAGACAGCTTTTGTCTCCGGTGATGTAGTTATGGTCGCAGTTTTGCCGTCTTTTTACGTGGCGTGCCCTTGATTCTATGTTCATGAGAGACAGCACAAACAGAAAGACCCGCGTGGAGGGCAAGTGCTGTTAGCGAGCACCGTTCAAGGCCGGAACAGAACACGAGGAGGTGGGTGGTCAACTCGACGCCCGGCCGCCTTTGTCTCCCTAGAAATGATGTTTTTTTATGCTGAGTCGACCTAGGGGAGATCCAGGACCGGGTCAGACAACCTCACGTTACTGTTATTGGTCGTCAGCGGGAATCGAACTTGGAGCCGCCAGGTTCGTAGTGCAGTGTGCTAACCGCTACCAACTACCGCTCCTAGCGTGTACATACAAAGAAAAAGATCCCCCGTATAGCCTTGATAGACTGTTGGGGTAAGTGCTGTTAGTGAGTAGCCCCTATGAAGGCCGGCGCGGGACTCGAGGGGGTGGGTTGCCAACACCACGGCCGACCGCCTTCGTCTCCCTCAGTGGCGATGTTTACACACCGCACCAGGTATTCATTTGAAGCTGAGTCGACCTAGGGGAGGCCCAGGACCGGTTCAGATAATCGTCACCGGTGTTGGTGGCCGTGAGCGGGAATCGAACTCGGGTCGCCGGGTTCGTAGCGCGGCGTGGCGCTAACCGCTACACCACCGCTCCCCGCGCGTACACGCTCACACAGACACGCACACACAGACGCGCGTACAGACGCATACGCGCTCACACGCACGCACGAGACATGCGTACAACACACGTGCGCGCCACAGGCATGCCGCATGCGTGCGCGCTGGGCAGTCGAGGGTCACAGAGGCACCTTCTCGCGAAGTGCTCTCCTGCGCTGCCACCCTGGCAATGGAGAGCGCACGCGCAGAGAAGTGCGATCAAAATGACGTTGGCTGTTGTAGAGAGCGGCGTTATTTTGCAATAACGCAGGGGTCGGTTAGTGGTGGTGGTGGGGTGGCAGCGGTGGTTGGGAACGCCGTCATCCAGCAGTAGATTGACCATGGATGATGATCGGTTGGTAGTGCTTGAATGGGTCCGCATTTCAACTCGTTTTGCAGCAGGGGATCGGGGAGTAGCATATGCGCGAAAGCAGGGCAATTTAGCATAGATAACACGCATATATAGGATAGATTGTGGGATGCAATGAGGTGGTGGGTAGGCTGCCTGGGCATGCGAAGAAGAGGGGCGATGTTCCTGCGTGATGATGACATGTAGCGACGTCATACGACAGAAGACATTGCCACTTTCCTTCGCCCGCACCTCCGATTAGCACGGGTGGCTGCGTACGGTGCGAAAGAAGTTCAACATACGCACGCACTTACGTACATACAGAGAGAGAGACACACACAGGGAGACAGTCATGGACAGAAACCAAAGTGATATTTATTTGTCTGCTCGGGTTTTCCTGCCACACCCCCAGCACTCTTACAAATTAACTTGGCTCAAGCTATTGCTCTGTCTGGTAGCAGCAGGATGCGCCTCAACACGGCGTCTTGAGACTCAGTGAGGCTTCGTAACAATACAAACAAAATATATGAAAACATTTGTATTTTCGATGGTGACTCGTTTATTTTATTTTTCATTTTTGGTCAATTCTATTCTTATTCTTGAGTGTGGCAGCAGCAGAAGTAGCAATGCGCTCAGGAGATGGATGCCAATTTGGAGCTGTAATCGCCACGACGAGGGGGCTTCGGCCTGCGAGATAGAGAGAGTTCGTGTTGTTTAGCCGTTCCTCTTCTTCCTCCGTCGAAGGAGCCGTTACCACAGTGGGTTTTACTTTGCAGGGTCCCATCGCTTGGGTGTGCATGGTCACAATCGCACCTGCTGTGGCTTATCTTTAATGTAGCCCTATCCACCTCGTTGTAATTATATATGGGTCTCAATGTATCTCAATGTGTCTCTATGGGTTTGCTATATGACTATATAGTTTGAGTTGCATGGCCACAGTCCCACTACTGTGGCTTGTATTTAATTTACCTCTGTGTGTATCTCCATGGATCTCTATGTATTTGTATGGGTCTCTACAGTGAGGGAAAACGTATTTGATCCCCTGCTGATTTTGTACGTTTGCCCACTGACAAAGAAATTATCAGTCTAGAATTTTAATGGTAGGTTTATTTGAACAGTGAGAGACAGAATAACAAAAAAATCCAGAAAAACGCATGTCAAAAATGTTATAAATTGATTGGCATTTTAATGAGGGAAATAAGTATTTGACCCCCTCCCAATCAGAAAGATTTCTGGCTCCCAGATGTCTTTTATACAGGTAACGAGCTGAGATTAGAAGCACACTCTTAAAGGGAGTGCTCCTGATCTCAGCTTGTTACCTGTATAAAAGACACCTGTCCACAGAAGCAATCAATCAATCAGATTCCAAACTCTCCACCATGGCCAAGACTAAAGAGCTCTCCAAGGATGTTTGGGACAAGATTGTAGACCTACACAAGGCTGGAATGGGCTACAAGACCATTGCCAAGCAGCTTGGTGAGAAGGTGACAACAGTTGGTGCGATTATTCGCAAATGGAAGAAACACAAAATCTCCCTCGGCCTGGGGCTCCATGCAAGATCTCACCTCGTGGAGTTGCAATGATCATGAGAACGGTGAGGAATCAGCCCAGAACTACACAGGAGGATCTTGTCAATGATCTCAAGGCTGCTGGGACCATAGTCACCAAGAAAACAATTGGTAACACACTACGCCGTGAAGGACTGAAATCCTGCAGCGCCCGCAAGGTCACCCTGCTCAAGAAAGCACATATACATGCACGTCTGAAGTTTGCCAATGAACATCTGAATGATTCAGAGGACAACTGGGTGAAAGTGTTGTGGTCAGATGAGACCAAAATGGAGCTCTTTGGCATCAACTCAACTCGCCGTGTTTGGAGGAGGAATGCTGCCTATGACCCCAAGAACACCATCCCCACCGTCAAACATGGAGGTGGAAACATTATGCTTTGGGGGTGTTTTTCTGCTAAGGGTGACAGAACAACTTCACTGCATCAAAGGGACGATGGACGGGACCATGTACCGTCAAATCTTAGGTGAGAACCTCCTTCCCTCAGCCAGGGCATTGAAAATGGGTCGTGAATGGGTATTCCAGCATGACAATGACCCAAAACACACGGCCAAGGCAACAAAGGAGTGGCTCAAGAAGAAGCACATTAAGGTCCTGGAGTGGCCTAGCCAGTCTCCAGACTTTAATCCCATAGAAAATCTGTGGAGGGAGCTGAAGGTTCGAGTTGCCAAACGTCAGCCTCGAAACCTTGATGACTTGGAGAAGATCTGCAAAGAGGAGTGGGACAAAATCCCTCCTGAGATGTGTGCAAACCTGGTGGCCAACTACAAGAAACGTCTGACCTCTGTGATTGCCAACAAGGGTTTTGCCATCAAGTACTAAGTCACGTTTTGCAGAGGGGTCAAATACTTATTTCCCTCATTAAAATGCAAATCAATTTATAATATTTTTACATGCGTTTTTCTGGATTTCACTGTTCAAATAAACCTACCATTAAAATGATAGACTGATAATTTCTTTGTCAGTGGGCAAACGTACAAAAATCAGCAGGGGATCAAATACTTTTTTCCCTCACTGTATGTATCTCTTGGAGTCTGTGTATATCTCCATGGATCTCTATGTATTTATATGGGTCTCTACTTATCTCTTGGAGTCTGTGTGTATCTCCATAGATCTCTATGTATTTATGTGGGTCTCTATGTATCTCTTGGAGTCTGTGTATATCTCCATGGATCTCTATGTATTTATATGGGTCTCTACTTATCTCTTGGAGTCTGTGTGTATCTCCATAGATCTCTATGTATTTATGTGGGTCTCTATGTATCTCTTGGAGTCTGTGTATATCTCCATGGATCTCTATGTATTTATATGGGTCTCTACTTATCTCTTGGAGTCTGTGTGTATCTCCATAGATCTCTATGTATTTATGTGGGTCTCTATGTATCTCTTGAAATCTGTGTGTATCTCCATGGATCTCTATGTATTTATGTGGGTCTCTACGTATCTCTTGGAGTCTGTGTGTATCTCCATGGATCTCTATGTATTTATGTGGGTCTCTATGTATCTCTTGGAGTCTGTGTGTATCTCCATGAATCTCTATGTATTTATATGGGTCTCTACGTATCTCTTGGAGTCTGTGTGTATCTCCATGGATCTCTATGTATTTATATGGGTGTCTATGTATCTCTTAGAGTCTGTGTGTATCTCCATGGATCTCTATGTATTTGTATGGGTCTCTATGTATCTCTTGGAGTCTGTGTGTATCTCAATGGATCTCTATGTATTTATATGGGTCTCTATGTATCCCTTGGAGTCTGTGTGTATCTCCATGGATCTCTATGTATTTATATGGGTCTCTATGTATCTCTTGGAGTCTGTGTGTATCTCCATGGATCTCTATGTATTTATATGGGTCTCTATGTATCTCTTGGAGTCTGTGTGTATCTCCATGGATCTCTATGTATTTATGTGGGTCTCTATGTATCTCTTGGAGTCTGTGTGTATCTCCATGGATCTCTATGTATTTGTATGGGCCTCTACGTATCTCTTGGAGTCTGTGTGTATCTCCATGGATATCTATGTATTTGTACGGGTCTCTATGTATCTCTTGAAGTCTGTGTGTATCTCCATGGATATCTATGTATTTGTACGGGTCTCTATGTATCTCTTCGATTCTGTGTGTATCGCTACGCGTCTCTATGCGTTTGGGACGTGCTCCATAGTTTAGGTTGCATGGCCACAATTGTTTGTTTTTAATCGATATCGATGTATCTTACTCAGCCGCACCTATCAAGTCCAGGGGCTCGCCGGTTCGAGATTTCATCTCCTGACTCGACAGTGGAAAGAAATCGCCACGTTTCTTAAGCCCCCACCCAGACCCAACACCGCAGTTAATGTTAGTCGCCTAGCATTAACTGTGGCGGGGCAAAGTGTGGGTAATTCTCACCTCTTCCAAGACGTCTGGCCATCATGGAAGAATAGGCCAACGTGGGGGAGGGGGGCAGGACAGTGGAGTGATGGGGGGTGGTGGGCAAATCTCTGGAGCTCCCTCTGGTGGAGGAGACCCTTCGACCAGCAGCGGAGTAGAGCAAGCAATTGCAGTAAACATTTTTACCTGTAAAACGGTAAGCTCCGTAACATTCACATCGAGACTCGGGGGCGACGTTGTTTCCCGCATTGCCACGAGCGGTGCGGTGAGTTCTTCGCGGGTCGGCAGGGCGCGCTATTGTGTGATGATGACAGTGGCACCTTGTCGCGCAGAGCGAGAGAGAGAAGGGGTGAGCGTCATTCGCGAACGCATCTCCCCTCCTCCCATCTCTCGTTCCGACGGCTCATTATTTTGGTTTTATTTTGTGCCGAAAGTCCATTGATTTCCTTGCAAGAAATCTATTTAAATGGCGTGTGCGTGTGTGTGTACATACCCTGTGACATACAGCTTCAGGCGATCAATAACTCGATGAGATGCAATGAAGGAAAACACAGCCACGTTAATTTCGGGGTGGTGGTGGTGGATTTTTAATTCACTTTATACGTCCTTACTAAAATGTCAAGGTGTGCACGAAATACACGGGGAGTTCATTATCAGCGTATCATACAGATGAACGCTGCTGCGACGTCGGAAAGCCTCGCCCGAGTCGCATTATTTTTTTTTTTCACGAGGGTCCAACCACTTTATCGCGAGCACGTAATAATGGGCCCGACTCTTATGAATGGCATCGCTGGATCTTTGGCGTCCACTCTGAAACGAGGCGGCGTCGTCGTCGTTTTTCTCCGGTTAAGACGTCTGCGGGTGTCACAGAGGGCGACCGCTGGATCGGAACAGTGAACTCCTGCAACGAGCGACGGACGATTTAAAGCTTTCGTGACTGCAGTGATTCATATTCTTGGTTCTTTCGGTAAAGTCACGTAGAAGGGAAACAATAATATAATAAAATATATGTAAAACAATTTTAAAATAAACAATTTGTATTGTTTTATATATATTTTATTATTTTATTGTTTCCCTTCAACGTGACTTTGCCGAAAGAACCAAGAATAAGCGACGGATGGTTGAGATGAAAACCGCTGGGCATCTGTGAAAAAGAGCTTGGCGGCTCATCGGATTTTCCCGGTTAAATGCAGATTCTGATTACGTCGTAGGGTTAGTAAAGGATTTCCGGTAAAGTGGCCGGGTGGCTTATCGGTGAATCATACTGATCTGCCACAGCTGAGAACCTGGGTTTGATTTCGGGTTGCAGCTTCCACCGCGATCAAACCGGGTCTTCACGGGCGGGGAGTTGTTGGCCTCAGCCCAGTGACCTCCGCGCACAAGCTGAAACGAGGTTACAATGATTTTTTTTGCGCGAAATTTAGCAAACATTCTAGTCCTGAGAAGTCAACAAAGCACAGTTATTGCTGCCATGCGACGAACATTTATCGACAGCTGGCTGCGTAGCAAAACGTGCCCCCACTCTTCAAGCGTGCGGCTAAGGTTGTGTTTGTATGGGGGTGTTCAGAAGCACTTCTGTGGCCATTCTCTAACACTGGGGTGGGGCTTTGAATCGACGCGGCTAATGGCTCGACCCCAGTAGCTTACATTGGAATTCAATTCCCAATAAAATACAATTTAGTTTTAATCATCTAAACGCCGCCCCCCCCCAAACAACAACAACAATACAGGCGACTGGTTTAATGGCTCGTGAGCTGGAAATAGCATTGATAGCGGCACATTGTAGCGTGTAGCCGGAGCGAGCTTACATGTGACGACGACTCGCACGTTCAACCGTGCACTCTGCAGCGTGTCGCTGCGTATGTGGAACCTACTCCGCCGTTTCGGTGTTACATTTCGCTGCTGTAAAATCGATACGGGTAGCCCAATTGCGTTTACTTTTTTCTCCCTTCAAATTATAAGCGAAGGCAACGGAGATCACGTGATAGGACTCCGCGTACTCACGTGAACAGCAGCAACAGGTTAATTGTTCTCAGAAACGTTATTGTTTTTTTGTTGTCTGTTTAGCCGACCTCTACCCTCGTCGTCGCAATTCACGGCAGGAGAGGGACAGGGGGGCAGGCAGGGCCAGCTGCGATCGCATTTGCGAATATCCACACACTGTCCAGCACTCTGGACGATGAGATCTCTGAACAGATATCACGCAACATTTGCACGATGGCGAGACGTTCAATCTCGACCCTGACGCCTGCTGCTGTATATTTGGAGTTTGTGCGTCTCTCTCTCTCTCCGTGGTCGCGTGGATTTTTTTCCTCCGGGTCCTCCGTTTTTTTCCCCCCCTTCGCATTTAGAAACACGCCGTTTAAAGTATTTGGCTGCTGCTAGACATTTCCACGCGATAAGCCACTTCGTTGTGGCAGGGGCCGTCCATAAATGACGTCACGAACCTGGGGGGGGGGAGGGGTCAGACATTTGTGACGATGCGTGACGAGGGGAGTGGGGGGTTAAGAAATGTGACGTCACATCAAAATGAGCAAATTTAAATAAATATAGACAACACGTTCTACTTAATTCAATAGACTTTTTTTAAATAAATGGTTTCTCCTACAACATTAGAGTGCAGCGCCACATTAAATACGCACTACAATGGCAATAGTTTAAAGCGATTTGAAGCATATTTACATTTGGGGGGCGGGGCAGAGCTTTGTGACGTCATATTTGAGGGGGGGTCTGACTTTTTGTGACGTCGTGTGACGAAGGGGGTGGGGGGTCAAAAATCGTCCAAAATCGCGTGACGTCATTTATGGACGGCCCCACAGTTTCTCATCGAAGGCATCCACTATTGACTTCCGCAAAAGTGGTAAGCATTTTATCGATCCCGAAGGGATGATAGGCTTCGTCGTCCTCCAACCCGAATTGAACTCGCAAGTTTCCCCCTACGTGATATCGGCTGCTCAATTTGTCACAAATCGAATAAAGAATGGATTTTTTTCGCGCGGTTGCCAAAGCCACGTGCGGACCCATTAACATACAACACACGAATCGGAAAGAATCGATTCACCGCTGAAGATTCGAGTGCTCGTATCGTGAGCGGCAGCAGTCATTTAGACAAATACAATCTCTTACGCCCCTACTTTAAACAGCAGCGTCACCCCGTCAATTGATTTCGCTTATTTGGCATCATCACCAATTCACGCCACTTTGAACTCGCAAACTTCCGATTGTCAGCGGGACGTTGCATTTGTTAATACGCCTTATAAATCGCGAAGTGAGAGTACACTTCCGTATGGAAATTCAATGTTGTTGATGCGTTGGCAGGGGTGCATAAGCATAATTAACAACAACGACGGACACTCAACACGCTCGTCAACAAGACCGCGTGGCCTTTAAAGGAAATATATAACAGACGACGTTTCTGGCAACGGTCCTTCTTCATAGCACAGAGGGGCGACCCATCCAAATTACTGACCAGGCTGCACGCTGCTTAGCTTCCCAGATTTGCGGAGATATTAAGCTAAGCAGGCTGGGGGCCTGCTTAACTTCCGATCTTCGCTTCCGAGATCTGACGATTTGTGTCGCATTTCAGGTAATTTTGTTTGGCAGGCTAATCACACCCGAATTGAGAGGTTGCGACACAGAAACGAGACAATCCCCCCTACCCCCCACCTTAGGTGTAATTAACGAACACCTCCCACGCGCATCGCTCAATTTGCATACTAATTGAGAGTCTCGGTGCATAATTGGGTGGAAAATACTGACTTAAGTCTGGGTCACACCATCAAACTCCCCACAGGTGCAACGATTACAGCCGTGCGTCAACTCGAAATTAAATTTTAAGCCGTCAATTATATATATAAAAAAATCATTTAATCATCGCAGGCACCCATTCAATCGTAGTAATATAATACCAATGGGTTCGCTTTGTTTATCTTGGAAAGCATCACCGATAATCTTCAACTGTTATTTCAGGTGGGTCCTGTCGCATCGGGATGTTTGGTCAATTCAAATCCATCGATTTGATTTCTGAGACATTTCGCAGAAGTAAAATCTGCATCGTACGTCCCTCCAACCCGAAATCAGATTTCTGACAAGTGGCAAATGTTGCCAATTGCTTTCTAGCAGTGCCGGTGATGCTTCTGCTGAAACAGTAATACTGTACACGGTGGGCTATGTACGGCGCGAAAAAAGTTCGACACACGGGTAACTACACAATACATTTGCACGTTTGCTCACGTGGCAAACCACGCACATTTCACCCACGCGACGTGACCCGTAGACCCAATTGTTGAATCACAACATGGGTCACCACCGATGTTCGATTTTTTTTTAATTAGCGTCTCCAGTGGGAGTTCACAGCGCCGCGTGCGCTGACCACTGCGTCCCCGCTCCCTAACACTCCGCTGTAGGAGGTAGGTGAGCGAGGCGAGGTGTTCACGCCGTCCGCCTCGCGTTACCATCATCGTTTTCATTTGCGCGGCGATGCGGACAAAATATCGCGCAAATGCGATCGCAGTTCGCCGCGGACACGGCACGAGCGCTCTGCACGCACTCACTCTTTCTCATCACTCCGCATCTGCCTCGCCACTCTCCCCCACCCCTCCGCCGCCCGCTCTCATCCCCCAGATCACGCCGGGCACGACCGCGGCGCTGTTGTCGCCCCGCACCACCCGACAGGAGGGGCGTGGTGGTGGGGAGCATCCGCTTCATCCCAAGTTCGATCCCCGGGATTTTTTTTTGTTATTGTCGCCGTGGGAATTTTTTTAAAGTTTTTTTTTTCCCAATGGGATCCTCCCGCGATGGATGACGGCGGCGCTTGGTGCGGCTGGTGCCCTGGAGCGAGGTGGGCATGAAACCGCCGCCGCCGCTGCCGCCGCCGCCGGCGACGGCCCGAAAAATGGAGCAGGGCTCGCAGCTCCCCGCGTCTCCTCTCTGGGCCTTCGCCGCCTTCCTGTTGGCGCTGACCGTCGGACCCCTGTGCATGGGGCCCGGCACTGGCTTGAGCCGAGCGGAGACCGAGTCCATCATACACATCGGTGAGGACGACAAAGCTCACGCTTTGGAATTTCGGGAGAAATACAAAAAAAAACATTTCCTTACGGTGTTACATCTCGCTGGGGTCGTGGTTACTGCTGATCGCTTGTCCACCCACTTTGGTCGAACAGTGCCTCGGGAATTTTTCTGTGTGTGTGTATACATAATTTTTTTCTAAGCACAGGGTGCTTTCTAAGCACAGGGTGCTTAGAAAACAATTGTTAACACTTTTATGGGACTGTCGTTTTTCATGGTAAAAGAACGGATAATGCACTGTAACTTGATGACAAATGTATGTTAATATCTTCAAAAAGTCAAAGAGTCTTCACTTGTTCGCCAGCATTGTCAACACATGCCTGGAATCTTCTCCAGGTGCTCTCCAAAGTGTTAACATTTTATTTGAAGCACCCTGTGTATCTCGCTATGGTTGCTGGTCGGGTGGCGCGCATACACGCATCAGTCTAAATATCCAGCGATAAAGAAAGCGCTCGGCTTACATGGAGAGGAGACCTAGGGTCTTCTAAGTGTCACATGGACACGTGCATAAACTCTCTTACACGGGGCATCACTTCGGCCGGATCTCTGTCCGGGCAGACGACGCGAGAAAAACATATTTCCGTGCCCGGCACACCACATCCATCATACCTTGTCGCTATGGCTGTGGCTTGCAACGCTGCTGGGCGCGTGCCACGTACAGTGCTCGATTCCACCAAGTGACCCAGAAATTATTCGGCGAGACATTTTCATTGAAGCCCTGCGCGCGACGCGGGAAAACGAAACAGCAACGCCGGCACACGTCACTCTCGTTGTCTTATATCTGAAGCGGTCCTGGGCCTCCTCTAAGTCGACTCAGCCTTAGATGAGTGGCCTGGTATTGGGTGTAAACATCAACCACGGGGGTGTGGGAGACAAAGGCAGTCGGGCGTGATGTTGCTCACCCCACAACCTCGTGTGCCCTGCTCGCCTTCTTAGGTGCTCGCTAAAAGCACTTGTCCCAACAGTCTGTTTAAGGCTACACGGGGGAGCTTTATCTTTCTATGTACATTATATAAGTGCATTATGGTGACGGCCTAAGGGGAGACCTTCATCCAGCAGCGGATTGATCTTGGTTTCAGCTTTCGATGATATATGTGTAGCTCTGATAAGAATGACGAGAGGGATTTATATAATTGCGGTGTGTGTGTGGTTGTATGTACACACTCCTGTGTGTATGTCTCTGTACACATGCGTGTTTGTGCGACCAATATGTCTATCCGTGGCGAATGACTGAACCGATCCTGGGCCTCCCCTTGTTCGGCTTAGCCTCGAACGAGTGCCTGGTGCGGTGTGTAAACAGCAGCATTGAGGAGACAAAGGCGGCCGGGTGTGATGTTGGTCACCGACGCCATAGTGTGCCGTACCGGCCTTAACAGGCGCTCGCCGACGGCCCTTGCCCCAACAGTCCGTGTAGGCTACACGGGGAATCTTTGCGGTAGTTTTACAGCTTTTGGTCACAAGTGGTATCTTAATTATGGAGTACATCTACGTGTAAACACATTACTGCGGAGGGAGCTGGTAGGAACGTTGGGTTGCTCGGTCAATGGCCAGGGTCAACGGCGGCACCACGTGGTGTATTCCGCAAATATGCCCGACTGTGAGGGCGGGCACAAGCCGACGTGAGTAGGTTAAACGTTGTGTTTTATAAGGGCACCACGGGGTGACCAGCCCCTCCCCACCCAGCCCCACCCCTCCCACCCCCCACCCAGCCCCTCCCCACCCAGCCCCACCCTCCCCACCCAGCCCCTCCCCACCCTCCCCTCTCCACCCAGCCCCACCCCTCCCAATTTTTGGATGCACGACGGACGGACGGACACAATAATCCCCTATGGGCTGGTGTTACCAAGAGGTTCCTACCAGTAATATTGTGTGTGTGTATATATAAAGTGGAAACCGGTCCAGAGTTTGCTTCTACTGAATCAACGCTGCTGCAATGGGGCACTCCCAGAATGACAGCAGGACCTTGACAGAATCAGAATATGTATTTATACTGGAGGAATCCGATAAGCTATAAAGCTCTTTTTCACGGACGTTCAGTAGTGGTGGATAAGAACGTTATACCAACAAGCACTACAAGCACATGATAGGAGTGCAAAGTACAACGAACGTGAACATATCGCCCAAACACATACAAATTAAACTAAACCATCCATATCAAAACAGGTAAATGCCATTGAGGTAGTAACTTATTTTTCAGAAGCGACCTGCCCATAAATGATAGCTCAACAAATTGAACGGTCAATTGGACATGTCCATAGCTGTTAACCCATACGGTTTACCCGTATTCTCGTCCATGGAAATTGAGTGTTCACGTCCATACTGCATACAGCCGTTTCAATATGGGCAAAACAATCTATTTGTTTGTGTTTCTCCCTTGTGATGGGACTTTGTAGGATGAACGTTGAGATGTATAATGGCATGGAGTGACCAATAAGGTCTTAATTGGTCTGTAATAAGGTAGGGCACTGATTAGGGGTTGCCAGGTTTGTTTATCGCACCAAAATCATCTAAATAATCTCAATGCATGTTTTTAAATGTGGAGGAAAAAACGGGAGTACCCGGAGTAAACAATTTACGCGACCACGGGGAAAGAAAGAGACATGCAAACTCCAAATATATAGCAGGCGTCAGGGTCGAGGATCGAACCCCAGACTTGCTGGATGCCGGGCGAGGTAGTTAACATCTTGCAGTGTTTAAGAAGACATATGGTCTGCCTATATATTGCCTTACATAAATCGTTGTGTTATGTTTTATTAAAAAACTGCACTGCCAAAGGCGTTGCGCTACGAGATTTAATGTTGCAAATCCGGGCTCGCAACTTTATAGTAACGTGTGGTCGGAGGCATTCGTGGATGTGATTATGGTGCGTTCCCGAAGGGAACTCCCGAAAGCACGTGCGGCAGAACGTCGGACATCATCCCCAAATCAGCACGTGACAAATACAGCTATGAAAAGACGTCGATCAATAGAGCTGTATAGCGCAGTTTTCTTTTGTATTGTTGTTGTTGTTGAAACGTGTAGTGAGTTTTATTGCAGTGTTTCACGGCCTTCACACTGCCCGTGTCATACGCGTTTCCCCTTTCAGCGTGGGCAATAATTCGTCCACGCAGCGGTTGATTGAGAATGATTGACACGTGCCATGGCAGCTCAACGCCCATGCAGCTGTCATGCGCATCTCATTTTTTTTTACCTTTCTCTGTACGCGCAGCTGCGAGTGTGCGTCTCCCGCTGTGTACGATTTAACACAAAGCAATCCCGGTATGATTACCGCCTCCGAATCACAACGATTGCTTATATCCGCGGATGATAACATATCACATTAATAATTCGCAGCCAGCTTTAATGTATTTTGCCCCGTCAATCCGGTAAAGGTTTTTTTTTCTTCAGAGATTCGATTCCCTTGCCTCTTTAAGGATAATACGTAATCGCGTAAGCCGCAGACGGGGCTGCCAAAGGCACTCCGATATCCACTGCTAGATGTCCACTTGCCGAGATCGAGTGGCAATCCGTTGCGACATGTATTCGTTAGCGAGCACCTGTTAAGGCCGATACGGCTCGTGAAGGCATGATGCGGCCAGAGCCAACCCCACGTGACTCTGTCTCACCAGTGTTGCTGTTTGTATACTGCGCGATGATTTTAGGCTGAGTAGATCTAGGGGAGGCCCAGGACCGGTTCGAACATTCGCCACTGTCATTGGTCGGTTGTGTGCGGGGATGCAACTCTGGCAGCCGGGTTCGCAGCGCAGTGCGCTAACCATTGTGCCACCGCTCCACTGATCTCCGTCCAGAGACAGATAGCCCCTGTATAGCCTTTAACAGACCCGGGGCAAGTGTTGTTAGCGAGCACCTATGAAGGCTGTCACGGTGCACGAGAGGTTGGGTGGCCAGCACCACGCGCGGCCGCCTTTGTCTCCCCAGTGTCGATGATTACACACTTTACCAGGTACTCATTTGAGGCTGAGTCGACCTAGAGGGGGGGGGCGGCCAGGACCACGCCCAGGACCAGTTCATATTATTTTCACTGGTGTTCGCGTGAGTGGGAATCGAACTCGGGTGCGCGGGTTCATAGGGCAGTGGCTCTGACCGCTCCCCACATCTCCGTACACCACCCACAACGACAAAGACCCCACCCCCCCCCCCTACCATCCACACATATAACCTTGACAGACTGTTGCGGCAAGTGATGTTGGCGAGTACACGTGAAGACCGGCACGGATACCCACACACACACAACCCTCCAAGGATCAAACTGCCGCAAGGCAATACGCGGCTTCTAGATAATGCAAAGTCGGCAGAGTCAAATCCACTCATCTCCTCCCATGGTGCCCCCGGGCAACGAGTTGGACGTTCCTGCATACATGTATTAATGACACGGTATTCATGCTATCTCACGTGTCCTGGTTAAGTTGCATCTCTGGCTGTCGCCTGATGATGGAAATTGTAATTTTCTCGACTTTTAAAATGTTTGTGGGTTTTACTTTGCAACACACCGGCGCGTTGCTGTACGAATTGGCACGTTTTGTTTGCGTGACAAACCCCCTTGCTAATTGGCTGCGTCGGGTGGTGGCGGGTTTAACGACACATTCATATTTACGCGATCTAACGCTAAAAAAAAACAACTCTCGTGGGTAAGTTGTAGATTAAAACAACAACATGCGTGCGTCAATATATAACGTCATGTGTGTCTGTGCGTGGCTCTGCATGCGTCACGAGACGTGGTGGGTAAACACCGCCCTTGTCATGTGAGTGAGATGTGTCACCTGAAGGGATTATCCAGGAAAGAAATAGTTGAATATCGACAGGACTATAACAAACAAAAACTGCACAGGTAGAGCATGGATGTGGGGCGCGGGGGGAGGTTGTGGGGGAGTGGCTGGTGGAGAGGGACGAGTACGCTAAATGGCGCGTGACCCACGTCCCGTCATCGGAACGTGGAGTTGATGGCGCATGATGTGGCATCAATCAA